TTTTCACAGTGATTATTCTAGTTAGAGATTCATGAGTCTAACAGCCTCAGGGTAGAAGCTGTTCCTCAGTCTAGTGGTTCTACACTTAATGCTCCTTAACCTCCTTCCTGAGGGGAGTGGGGCAAAAAGTGTGTGTGCTGGGTGGGTGGGGTCCTTCATGATGCAGGTGGCCCTCTTCCTGCATCTGGAGGTGTAGATGTCTGTGATGGTGGGGAGACTGATTCCAACATCTTCTGTGCAGCCTTCACCACTCTCTGCAAAGCTTTTCTTTCTGCAGCTGTGCAGCCTCCATGCCACACATTGATGCTCGAGCACAGGATGCTCTCCACTGCACACCTGTAGAAGGAGGTGAGGACTGAGCTTCCAGACCAGCTCGTCTCAGCCGTCTGAGGAAGTAGAGTCTCTGATGAGCTTTCTTCATCAGGCTGGTGGTGTTGTTGCTCCAGCTGAGGTTGTTGTTCATGTCATTCAACTCCTCCCCCTTTCTACACATAGGGCAATAAAAATGAACCCTAAACAACAATAAACACTTTAATGTTTCTGTCTGCACCTGATCTGTGTCGCACCTTAATTGGTGATATTTTTATATGTTGTTATTTTTATTTTATCTGTATTTTTATATTTTGTGTGATTTCTTGTGCATTATCCTTTGTATTAATTAAACCCTGGCACAAATTCCTGCGGGATCAGTAAAGTTCTTATCTTTTCTTATCTCATTAGAAACGCATTATTCGCATATCTACATAATGCAAAACTGAAAAGTTTAGTCGGTGTTACAAAAGTTACACACTCCTGTACGTCAGGAGGCGCTCTGCACCTTGGAGAAGTTTGCGATCCGCCAACAAATGAAAGAAGAAGAAGAAGATTGGGCGCAGTTCACGCTCCTGACCAACAGGTGGCGGTAACGCTCTGAAATATTCTCAGCCAACCGCCAAATAAAATCGAAGAAGAAGAAACTATTGACTCCAGACTGTACAAGGTTGTTCGTCATGGGGGCACGGGTTGCGCGGTTGTTCCGAAACTTTAACATAGAAAACCGGGTACTTCGGGAGCTGTCCAAGGAGAAGCCGGTCGCTGCGCCTCGACACGCGACCGGCGCTCCGACCCCGGTCAGCCCTGACGGTGAGTGCGTGTCCGACAGGAGGAACCTCCGTGTGGACTCGGTGTTTCCTGATTAGCTCGTGTTCTGTGTTTCAGTGGTGAACGAGGTGAAGCAGAAGAACCAGCACTTACTGGACCTCCTCCGAACCGTTTACGTTGAGTCCAGAGACCCAGCAGCAGAACCACCAGAGGTCAGACTGAAGCAGACCTCAGAGCCGCCATTACTTAACACATGTTGTCCACAGGGGTCTGGTCCTCCTGTCCACAGGGGTCTGGTCCTCCT